TGTGAAGCTTGAAAAGAACAAAACTGATTTATTAATTTCTCTTTGAGAATGAGAAAAAACCAAGTCTCTAAAAAGGTGGGATGCGACGAGCTATGACGGATAAGGATATCAACATAATCTAATATCAAAGATAGATCTTAATGGTATATGTAATAAGGTTTTCTCAAGAACAGGCATCTCGATTTATTGAGCATGTAAACAATCCTTTAGATCCCCATGCAATAATCCATGATGGAGCAGTCACTAATAGTGATGTTTTGCAGTTTAATATCCAATTGGATAACCTTGGTGTAACATCTTGTTCCGAGAACTTTCTTATACCGGGAACATGGGTAATAAACTGATCAAGTAAAGGCATTGGGCTTCAAGGGAATAGAGTTTACACCTTATTGGGTGATGATAGTGTTGGATAAGTGATTAAAGCCTTGGTTTGTGTGTTGGAGTCAAAAGGTAAAATGGGAAAAGTGATGTTTCAGACTTCTTTTATGAATTAAGGATTTTATTTTGATGTGTTTTAAGTCAAAATTAATTAGATATGGTTGTGGGGCTTGTCAATACCTTTACGTGCATATAAAGAAATTCGAAAACGGAGTTGAAACGAAGAAGTTATGATTGTTTGAAGTTTGAGTGAAATTAGGTGAAAACCCGTTTCACGAGGTGAGAAGTCATTCTCACGACATGAGAGCCCTCACGATGTGAGAATATATTCTCACGACATGAGAACTGTGCAGCCCAAATCTCACAAAATTTTTAGGGTTTTCAAGGTATTTAAAAGTAAGGATTTATGTTTTAGGGTATTTTCTTACCCTCCATCATATCTAGAAACTCTTGGGAGAAACCCTAGCCTCTATTTTCAAGATTTGAGCCTCCCCTATCCCCTCTCATCCATTTTTGGAGTTTTTAGAGCAATGTTTTCATGCAAGATTGATCCTTGAACCTTGGAAATGGAAGATCTCATCTTTCATCTACCTTCTAGAGCTTTGTAAGTTATAAAGTTCTTAGCTTTATTGCATTTTATCTTTGGATCCAAGTGTATTTGGTGTTTTGGTCCATTTTAATGAGTTTTGAATGAGATTTAGGAATAAAGTTTTCAACTTTATTACTCTCCAAGGTCCTAAGAACATTGTATGTTTCAAATCTGGACTCCAACACCTTTTCATCAGTTTAGAATGTTTTCTCGGACCTCGTAGACTAGGAAAGTTTTGATCTTTTTATTTCCCTTTTAGCCATGCAATTTATTTTTGTCATTTAGGCCATTTTGGTGCATTAGAGTTTAGATATTTAAAGCTTGATACATTATTATGGATAAAGTTGGAAACTTTATCCATCTAAACATCATGTTGATTCCGATCTGAAGGTTGGAGACTTAGACTTAATGGATTTAGTTTAGAAAGATGCATTCTTGGTCCCTTTAAGACTTAAATACTAGATCTTGGTTGTTTGGACCATCCTAATGGATAAAGTTGGAAACTTTATCCACTATGAAGATATTTAAGAACTAGATATGAGGTTTTGGGCCTTGGTCTGAAGAGATTAAGCACTTAATGAAGATTCTATCCTTCTGATTATAAGTTACGACGTGGCATAGGATGTGTTACAATGTGACGGTGTCCAGTCGCAATTTTTTTGTCATTTCATTCTCACGACGTGACCAAGGAATGGTCACGACGTGACGTTGACTTTGACTAAGCTGACCGTTGACTTTTTCACCAGTTTGACTTTAGTTGGCTAGAATTGAGTATTTGACTAAGGATTGGTCTCAGTTTGGTTTTAAGAAGTTTTGGTTCATTGTATAGACGCTGAGGTAGCTGATCGACTTCTGTTGAGTAATTCAGGTGAGTTTGCTCACTATATTGTAGGACACTAGGGTTGTATGTGCATGTTGTCTTTGTGACTCTTGTTGTATGTTTGTATGCTTGTTTTCTATATGTATGTGGGGTGAAATAAACCCGATGGTGAAATAGACCTGTACGGTTGAAAAATATCGACTGAGTTGAAATAGACTCGGGGGTGAAATAGACCTGGTATAGTCTTGAGCTGACATTTGAGTTGAAATAGACTCGAGGGTGAAATAGGCCCGGGGGTAAAATAGACCAAGTACAACCTTGAGTTGACATTTGAGTTGAAATAGTCTCGAGGGTGAAATAAGAACTGATACAACTTTGAGCTAACGTATATGTATGGTATGCAGTAAATTGGGGAACTCGCTAAGCTTTGTGCTTACGGTTTAAGTTTAAAATGTTTTCAGGTACTTCTAGTTTCAAAAGGAATGGTCGGCTTGATCGCACTACATCCCCTAGAGAATTGTTCTGCATTGACTGTTTATGATTTTACTATATGTTTGAGAATAGTTTGACTCTGATCGTCTTTGGAATAATGAATGAATGGTTTTGATTTATTTAAAATAAAAAAATTTACTTGGTATTTTTGGGACGTTACACTTGACATTTTATTGTATTAAAAGAGGGTTTCAAGGGTTTCCCATCTTTTTAGACATGTAAATTATTCTTTAAAATTATCTATAACAAAAATTGCAAAATTGTTACATAGATCCACATTTCACAGTAGAATAGATATGGTTTCATACGGTATAATCACATTTAGTAGAAGATTTTCCATTGGTAATCGATATGGTTTCATCCGATATAATCACATTTAGTAGAAGACTTTTCATTGGTAATCCACGACACCAAAGCTCATGCAGTGTGTTTGAAATAAAACCCACAAGGTTCATAACTCAAACAATCTAGGTTAAGACTGAGTAGTATGTAAAACTTTACATTTGTGATGCTATAATGATTTCCAATATTGGAGGTGCCTATCATAATCGGAGATCAAGAGCTAGGGTTAGAGAAGGAAGTTGTCGAAACAGAAGGAGAAAGTGATAGTGAATGTTGAGATTTAAAGAGAGTACTACACTCCGATTTCATATAAGATACTATTTACTTGTGAATAAACTTATCTCTGTGATCTCAATAAATAGGCAAATGCATGAATCGTAAAATGGTTTAGTAATGACTACTTGAGGGTTAAACATCATCGTATGCTTCAACTTGAAGAAGACTCATAGTTCTAAATCATTGATTATAAAAGAGTTATACATAAATGAACTAAATGAGCTATACAATGTATATAAAATTGTAACAATTTAAGGTTTATCAACATCAAATAATAAATATGTTTCTTTTATGAATCAATTTACTAAACTCTTCATAACTAATATTTCCTTTTTTTAAAAATATAAATACATATCAAGATAGTTTTTTTATGTGATTTATACAAATTTTAAACAAAACAATGTCAAATGCATCAATTATCATATGATCGTTATGAGAAATTAAATATCCTCGTACATTTTATTCTTACTTATCCTTCTATCATATTAAATATTAACATGCGTCACATTTAATGACGCATTTAATGAAATTAATAATAATTTAATCCACTTATCACCATTTAATATGGATGGGAAGATAGTAGAAAAAAAACATATGAGAATATTTAATTTCTCGATGGTTATTAACGAGCAAAAGATTGAATTTGGTGAAAAAAAAGTATTGTTTTATGATATGATATGCCACAAGAAAATTTGTTATATTAGTTTCAAAGTCAAATATTTATAATATGGTGTATTAGTATATGTCGATATGATATATATATATATATATATATATATATATATATATATATATATATATATATATATATATATATATATATATATATATATTTTAAATTATGATATAGTTATATTTAAAACAAATGGTACTTGATTTTATAATGAAGAGATTTTCTAATATGTGCTCTAAGGGCACATATAAGAAGTATTAATTATGAAAAATATTACCATAATTAAATTCAAAATACATTTATTATGGAAATTATTAATGCACTTCACATTTAATTATGGTAATATTTCTTATAATTAATGTATTTTATAATTAATTATGATAATATATATCATCAATTAATGCTTCTTATATGTGCCATTAGGACACATATTAGAAAATCTGTATAATAAAATATCACGTACAAAGATCCGATGACCCAATCATATGTTGCACTAGGATTGGATTGGATTGAAAAACACAAATGGTATAACATGAGCTTAACCCATTTACCTAAAAATGTTGGATTGTATTAAAAATCTCAAACATGTTTCATTAAATACATTAAGACCGAAATTGTTTAATTAAACATACCAATCCGATTTATTGTCCTCCGTACCAGAGAGATAGACCTAATTAACAAAAGGTACAAACTTCACAATTTCTAGACATTATTGTCGTGATAGAAATACACCATGGGTCCACTATTATGATGATGGCTCGTCGGACACTCAACCAATTACCATCCACATATATATACCATAGTTAGATTAGATTGTGTTTAACGTATATAATAAGCTTATATACTAGTTTTTTTTTTAGATTATTACAATTTACTGTTTGGTAAAACTATTAAAATGGGTTATAATAAATTATAACTTATAAGTTAACTTTTTTATGAGTACCCGAAAGTTAAGGTGCTTAATTCACATAAAAGGTCCATGGTTCAAACTATTGCATGCACAAACAAAGGGATAAAACATGTGATAATTATAAACTATCCTTAGATGGTTTCTTGAAATTGGGCTTTAACGTTTAATCATTCAAGCAAAGCACTTTTGGTTTTGAACGTGGTACAATTTGATTTTTCAAAGTGGATTAAATGAGAACCGAATATGAAGATCACAATCATCACATCAAGGCTCAAGGCTCAAGGCTCAAGCATTTATTGATTTGAAAATTCCATCAATTCTTTGTCTACCAAAACCATAACCGACGAAAAAATTCAACCGACAAAAAGTCTTGTCACTTGGCATACATAAATACCCTTATATTATATAATATACACCAACACAACCTTTAAATCTAAATATTTTCATATATTGCATGTCAAACATATATATATATATATATATATATATATATATATATATATATATATATATATATATAGGTCAAACATCTTAAAATTTTCCTCAACAAAGGAGACATTATATGCAATCATGCGAGGTACCTGAACAAATTTGGGTTATCTTTGTCTCTTTCAAGATAATCCCGAGTAATCAGATCTTCAATCCTCTTCTTTATTGCTTTTACATCAGGCTACACAAACATTCACAAAATTCAATTTAGATTTTTTTTTAATAAAAAATACATATATATATATATATATATATATATATATATATATATATATATATATATATATATATATATATATATATATATATAATTTGTGTTTAAACTTTTTACCTTAAACATGCGTCCCAACTGTTCAACACACTCCATAACCAACTGCTGATAACCCAAAACTTTTCTACTCTTCATAATCCGAACAATCGATGCATCAATTGCATACCTTCTATCTTTATCAACATCCTCAATCACCTTCTTCTTTTCATCCATTGGAGGCAAAGGGATCTACATATTTATTTATTTAAACAAAAAAACGAATTAAAAAATTGGGTATTTGGGTATTATTAATGTATCCATTACCTTGATCCTCCTCATTTTATCTGTAAACTTTGAATTGAACTCAAAGTAATCATTTGGAGATATTGTTTTTGTATTTGGTTCCTTTGTAAGAATCTTGTACTTTGCACAAGAGAGGGAATGAAGAAGCCTGATGACATCATCATCTGATAAGTTTAACTGTGTCTTGATTTCTTGATAACTTAATCGGTCTGATAAATTGAATAGAAGTAGAGCAGATGCTTGATAAGTTGTCACAATTAACTCCACAGTTTTTGAATCAAATTTTCCATTGATGTTGCATGTACCCAATGAATACACCCACGTAAGCTTCCTATGTTTTGTTTTTGTCTCGTAATATTCTTTAAATACTTCAACACACTTAACCTAAATTAAATAAATACAATTAGATATCACAAAAAACGGTGTTTTTAACTTATATATAAAAAAAATTACCATCTCTATTGGGAGATTGAGATCAAAAGACTTGTAACTTGGCCAAAAACCAGTAGTCAATACAGTTACAGTCAAGTCAATCCCAGGGTTCACATTTGTGTTATGTCCTAAATACTCTTCAAAATGGGATTGGTTTTCTTTTGCTAATGTTAAATCTGTTACCTGAAAAAAAATATATGAAATATATAATATAATATAATATATATAAAAAGAATATGAATTTGACAATTACCATTCCCTCCATTTTTGAAGTAAACTGACCACCACACTGCTGTTTCAGCTTTGTGAGGATACTCCTTTCATGTTCATCATTGGCACTTTTGTCAAACAACAGCCTTCGAGCAAGTTTTTTCCTAAAATTACAATCATAATAAAATAAATAAATGCAAAAACTGTTTATATGTGAAATAAGTGATTTATTCACCTATAGAATTCAGCAAAGAGATCTTTATCGCTGATGTAAGCAAGCAGTTTAACTACCTGTAAATGTAAATGAATATTAAATAATTTTCAGACATAAGTTTCTGGAGTTATATAGGAACATGCCTTCTCAAGTGTGTCTTCAATGGCTTCATCGCTTAATTTCTCACTTCCACCTTTTTTAAGAATATTATCACAAAATGTGGCGAGTAATTCTGCACTTGAACTTCCGGAAACGCCCTTGTTGCAGAATATTTCGAATGCTTCTTTAAGCGCCTAGAGGGTAAATAAGCATAATATAAGGAATAAAATAGTAGATAAGAAGTTATAATTCAGTGAAATTAATAATGCAAATATACAAAACCTTATGAAATAGGGTGTGGTTCATAAAACAGTCATTTACATAAGCCATGTACTTGTCATGCAGCTCAATCACTTTTCTCACAAAAACCTGGAAACCAGACCACAAGCAATTGTATTATTATTATTATTATTATTAAAAACTTAATTTTCTTTTTAAAAAATTGTGAAAGTTCAAAATTTTAAAAAATTTACCTGTTCCTGCAAGCCAACCACATCTCTCTTTTCTGCCTTCTTATTACTTGCAGCATCTTCTGCCTGTTTCACCAAGGCTGTGCCTTCAGCAGCAACATGCTACATTATGTCAAAAAGAAAGTGAAAACAGATGATAAAATATACAGATAAATGCATTTTACTTTAGAAAAATAAAATCCAACTCCAGAATTACAAACCTGTTTAAATATACTAGAGACAGGATCCAATCCATGGGGTATTTTGGAAAATAGTCTATACATTCTTGACAAATCATCAACCTGCAAGTGAAGGGTAGAAAGGGAAGAAACAAATGTAGTACAGGGACCAAAAGTGTAATTTAGTACAATACAACAGCATACCTTGTCATCCCTAAGTAAAGCATGACAACCAGAGTGTTCCTTTTCAAGCAATTGGGTTGCATACATGGATAGCAACTCATTTTGAACTTTCTAAACACAAATGTCAATAACAGTAAGTATAAAAAATAAAGTCACCATTTTTTTCTTTTCAAATTTAAATAGTGAAAAAGCAAACCTCAAGAAGCTTTGTTTCACTGCTAAAATGAAGATAGTGAGAAACTCTATCTTTCTCCCTTTTTAAGCACTCCTCTGCCTGATATTCCAAAAAGGGTGATTATAATTTATAAGAAGAATTGAAAAGATGAAAATTTCAAAACCAAATAGGTGTAGAAATTTACTTTGAGCATATAATCTGGACAAGAATCTTCTAGAATCCAGCTTGAAGCTTTGCGTGAATAATATGCTGATGTATCTTTAAGCATGAATGCTTCAAAGTCATTCTCATAATATTCCATATCCCCCATTCCTATTTCAACAAATATATCCAACACATTCTTTAATAAACCTCGGTCAATCTGCTCTCCTTCACGCTCTTGATCAATCTGGTGTTTGAACAAATAATTAGTCATTGACTTATTTCTACAGAAAAAAAAATAAATAAATAATAATAAGATAACCACATTTGTAAGAGAAAAAAATAACATACCAGAGATATTACAGCATCCCTCACTTTCCCATGCAACTCTTGATATACCTAGCAAAAGTTATTAAAGAAATACATATTTACAATTAGTTAATGTTTAAAAAAACATTTTTTTTGTATGATTTATAGATGAAGAAGTACCAGATCACGAAAACAGGTAAGCCCAACTTCTTTTAGAGCAGGAAGAGATCTTCGGGTGATGAAATATCGATCAAGATAATGGAAGAATCTAGAAAGCCATCGAACCATGACTTTATGATTTGACCATCTTCTAACAAGCTCTCTGAGCATGAATTCACCATGTTTCTCTCTCAAAGAAGGTAAAACCTGAAGCAGAGACATTGGATTTAGAACTCAGATCCAACCAAAACTAAAACACATATGATTTTTCACAACTTTTCTAAGAAAAGTTTACATCTATTGTGTTTCTTTATTTATTACTAAGGATAGATAACCAACTACAGTCTACAACTTTATACTTTCCTCTTATAAACTTTCATCTAGTAAAGATCAATTTCAGCTAATCATATGAATGACATTCAAGATGTGTTTTTCATCACTTACACAATAAATTCAATTTTCTATCAAGTACATAAAGTAAGCCTTTTTTTTATGAGGAAATGAAATGAAATTGTATATATAGTATATCAATAGTTACTTTTGGTGATTTAAAATGTATTCAAAAGCATTTACATGTAAAGTATTCAAAAGCATAAAAAAAAAAAAAAAAAAAGATGTGACTTGCTCTACCGTTGAAGTAATGTACTCTTCAAAAGACTCGCGATATTTTTCATACAGCTGTTGAGAGTAATCATGTGGTGGTTTTTGTGTGCACATGTTGTAGATTGTTCTAGAAGAAAGTTAAGGACTTTTATAAATATAGCATCAAATAATATATGAAATAAGGATACGTATAGAGCATCATATAGTCCTCTGAGCTGAAATGTTGCTCAGTTGGACCATCTAAGATATTCTTCAACTTTGTTATGCCTTTCTGCATGAAATCCCATCCTTGTTCTAAGTCTATTGTTTTTCGTTCATTATTCATTTTGATATGCAAAGTAGCATCAATTCACAGCTCTGAAACAGAAATATTATCATCAATAGTTTGCATATAGAATACAAATACATATGCATAGAGTACAAGTAAATATACTACACACTATCTTTAATGACAAAAAACATTAGGGATGTAAAGGAGAATGAAAAGTGGATGGAAAAAAGAGGCTGCACATGGTTAACTTTCTTGAAAAGTTTTAGCTGATAAGGATAAGGCAAGTTAAAACTAAGAAGGATCTAGTAATCTATTAGGTCATTGATGACAATAAACATATGCTCATTTCACATGTTTCTTGTTATGTTTTCATGATAAGCATGTTAAAAGTATGTCTAGGAAATAAATTAAAGTTGAGAGTCTTTGTTGAACTTATGGAGGGTTAGTAATGCCATTTGGCCCAAAGAATGATGAGTAACATACCAAGACACAATTACTAATATTCTTCAATACATGAAGGTTGACTTTAAGCATACAAAAAAAAGTCCATTCTTTTCAAGTTCTTATATACATATGTCCAACTTTTACTCAAAAGAATATCACTTGATAATCATCATCAATCATCCAAATTGTGCAGCATTCAACAATGAATGCAACATATTTTTTGAGTTTCAAATCTACTAATTTGTCCATTAACAATAATTACAAGGTATTGGTGAGTGGCCCACAAGTTTTTTTTTCCATTGTTAAATTATTATTAATGGGTAATTTAGGTACTTGATCATTATTCAAAAACTTTTATGACCCACGCTACAAATTGAAGAAACAGGGAACTAAAGAAAAATGATTCGGATAACTTGAATCAATTATGTCAAGAATGGACTTTGTTAGCATTCTGGTTCTTTGACAGTGGTCAACATTCAACTAAAAGGAATGAACCCAAATATCCAAAATCTAACTGAAGTTCCATAGAATTAGTCAACAAGGGCATATTGCATTGCAAAACTAAAACAATCCTCAATGTCGTTCCTACCAAGGATCGATACAAAACCCTGATAACAGAATTTAAACTAAAATAGAAACAAAATTCAGGCATAAACCTTAGCAAACGACAAACAGGAAATCCAAGAGGCAAGATCGTCCATAAACAATTAAGTAATTAACAGTTTCAGCTCTAAATTCCGAATATGTGAACATAAGCAGCAGTTCATCACATTACATGTCGACAACAACAAGGATTATAATTGAACATAGAAAATCGTCATATGAATATGATCCGGAAACTCTGATCATGATTGTGTGGGGCATTTTCGTAAAATGCAAAAACAATACAACGAAGATACATGGAATATTATAGATTAATAGGTAAGAGATGATTCATAAATGAAAAAGGCATAACTGAGAAGTGTGATATGTACCTAATAAGTTCCTGAAATCGAAGGATGGGGTTTCGAGAGATAGAGAGAGATGCCCCTCTTTCTCTCTCCGTCTGCTCTGTTTTCTCTCGAAGCCGATGAGCAGATCGTTAATTATTTTTAAATTTCATTTATTTTTATAAGAAACAAAAGAACAAAAATAAGAAGAGAAAATTATAAATTTAGACATTTTTTTAATTTATTTATAAAAAATATCCAAAAAAACCCAACGTCCCAAAAATAACCATCAATATTTCAGATGGATTAGAGTCATCTGCAATTTTGATGCGAACATACAAATGTTCAAAGCGTGTTTGTGCATTACGTGTTGTACGTAGATGGACAGTGTTCATCTGCGACCACCTACGATTTAAGCTTTTTCAGAATATAAATTCATACTTTTTTTTAAAACCCTCATTTTTGTTGATTTTTCTTTAGGAAAACTTTCCCAAGCCTTGAGAAAGTTAGGTTTCACAAATCAAGTTTTAATTATACAAAAAACATATTATAAAAGTTACTTATACAACATGAAGATGCATCAGAAATCGTTTTCATACCATAAATCATATTTATACAAATGTCTAACATATTTATTTTATTCCAAGTCTCATAAAGATCATCGAATGTGAAGTCCCACAAATAACTACCTCATGGATTCATCAAACCTATAATTTTCATAATCATAATTAAAAAAAAAAAAGCAACAACAACAACAACATTACCACCGCAAAAATCGCAGATGAAGTGAGAGAAAATCACAAATGAACTCACTTCACTTCATATACGAATCGTGTGTGGAAGGGAGATATATTTATACCCGAAAAAAGCAAAAAAAAATGAAATTAACTACAAACGTACAAGTCAACAATGCATGATCATCCTTTACGATGTTGTACCTTCGCAGAGCAACACTTAAAATCACAGATGGCTCTAATCCATCAGCGATTGTGATGACTATTTTTGTAATGGTGGATTTTTTTGGCTATTTTTTACAAAGAGATTAAGGAAAATTGTTAAATTTGTAATTTTCTATAAGACTTTCTATTATACAGTTAATTTTTTCTTTTAGAAAATTAACTAATCTAACCATATTTTAGAATCTTCTATAATATGTAACATCTCGGAATATCAAGAGTAGAGTTAAAGGGCTAAAAGTGAAAATGTATAAGGGCAACTCGGCGAGTCCATGGGTGGACTCGGCGAGTAGGGTCGCGACTCAGGTCGCGTGTTAAGTGGCCAACTCGGCAAGTCCAAAGTTGGACTCGGCGAGTAGGCGTTGTGCGAGGAAAACCCTAAATTCGGGGGATGAGCCCTATATAAAGGACATTATACCCTCTCCCCAGCCTCCTTGATCTCACTTGAAGTCCAGAAACCCTAGATACGCGTTTGTGAAGGTTTTGAGTGCATTGGAGCCTTGGAGAAGAAAGTTGGAAGAAGATCTTGGAGAGTTAGGAGGCTTGGAGCAAGGGGATTTGCTTAGATTCGGATTCCTTGCTGTTGGGGGCTTTATTTTGAGGTAATATCTCATTCTTGGGTTGTGTTCTTCCAGATTCATCATTTTGGGGTTGTGTGGGAAGCTTAGATTGTGGTATCTTGAGTTTGAAGGATAGATCTGAGGTTGCTACCTCAGATCTGAAGTGTAGAAGGTCTAGAGTGCATTAAAGTCCCTGTTATTGAGTGATTGGTGGAGCTATCTTGTCCCAAACCATAGCCCTAGAGTGTAAAATGCATAAATCTCTTTGGATTCACGTAAAGTTTGCCACTTTACGTGATGGATGGGTTGTATAAGGGTAGATCTATGTTTTGGATCAATTGCATGGCCTGGAAGGCTTCTGTATGGGTTAAGAACTAGTATACTCGGCGAGTTACAAAGTTGTACTCGGCGAGTTGCTTGAAGATGGACTGGAACTCGGCGAGTTGGAAGAACAACTCGGCGAGTAGGTTGAAGATAGCCTCGGACTCGGCGAGTCTGTTCTTGGACTCGGCGAGTCCGGTCGTGAGGTCCTAATATTCTTCTGGTTGAGTCATGAATCGGCGAGTCAAGGGAGGACTCGGTGAGTTGAGTGCGAGGGGACTCAAAGTTACGAGACTCGGGTTGACTCGGCGAGTTTAGTCGCGGATTGGGGAAGTTCTAAGCATGGGGACTCGACGAGTCATTGGGTTGACTCGGCGAGTAGAGTCAGTCAGGAGGTTGACTTTGACTTTGACTTTGATCAAGGGTTGACCAGTTGACTTACAGGGGTAATTTGGTAATTATTGGTATTTATTGAATTCAGTCTTTTGGGTATTGACAGTGGTGGAGTTCGGGTCGGAGGTTGCAGCAGCGTGATCATATCCTTTTCAGTCAGCAGTTTCGAGGTGAGTTATCCTCACTATATCAACAGGGTCTAAGGCACCAAGGCCGACCCTTTATCGAATTGAGATTCGGGTATTTGTTGTTATGTTATTGCTTTGATATGTCTGCATCCTGGTAGCTAGGACAATATATGTTAGAGACCTGGTTAAGGTCGGTTTCCTGATATGTAGGGTGATGCTATGCTAATGACCGGTTAGGTCGGTATCCTGGTTAGGGTAATGATATGTTATGTGATCTGCTTGATCGGATTGTTGACTATGAACTGTTATATGATTGTATGTTATGTGCACATAGATGTTTGGACTGGAGTTGGGTTGAGGTGGGTCCTGCTTTGTGCTGTAGGCCAAGATACCTAGGGCGGACCGGTTGTTCCGAAGGCCCAACAAGCGGTCCGGATAGGCTGTAGGCCCCACGAGGGCGGACCAGACGTGCCGAGGTTCAGAGAGTGGACCAGGCCGACTGAAGGCCCGATACGGGTGGACCAGTCATATTGTAGACTCAGAGAGTGGACCAGGTGAGTTGAAGGCCCGGTGCGGGCGGACCAACCACACTGCAAACTCGAAGGACATGACTAGACTCGGAGGGTGGACCCGATGGACTAAAGGCCCGATACGACGGACCAGTCATACAGTAGACCCGATATGCATGGATGTTCTATGTTCTGTTATGTTATGTATGTTATTTATGTTTGGGTCGGAAGGCACTATGTTATGGGTCGGAAGGCAATATGTTTTGGACCGGAAGGTCGTAGCCTGGAAGGGCGTATATTTGGTTGGTATTTTGGGGGTATCTCACTAAGCTTTCTGGCTTACAGTTGTGGTTTAAATGTTTTTCATGTTCTTCAAGAGACCGTGGCAAGGCGAAGGCGTGATCGTACCGCTCCTCGTGTTTATGTTTATGACATGGTTCTGGTAATACTCTGATAATAAATGTATTGAAAACCTTTTTGTAATAACAATATTAAAATGGGCTGTTTTTGAAAAGTTTAAATTTTGTTGAAAGTTTTGGTCGTTACAAGTTGGTATCAGAGCCTTGGTTTGAGTGAATTGGAGGAACATTCGTGTGAATCCAGTCTCGAATCAGGGAGAGTTTTTAAAAGAGAATTTAAAATGGTTTTCAAATTAAGTAAAAGGAGGACACAGAGGTACGATCAGCCGGAGCCAGTAAGTAACCCCAAAATACCATACATGATATTTGTTTTCGAGCTTTGATAGAACAACATGCTAGTACTAGGCTAGGGATCTTCAGGATTTCATGATAATGTTGTCTGTTTTATGATGCCTGTTAGCCTAGGGTTTCTCTCTGTATGAGATTTCCAGTGTTCCTCTAGGAGTGAGGATTGAGCGCTTGCTATGTATATTTGTCACTAGGGTGTTGTGGTAGTACTTCATACAAATATGGGTAGGTGTGGAAGACAGTATGGGCCCGTACTACTGAAAGCACAGGACCCATACGCGTATCAGGGAAACCATGACCTCTAGTGTTGGGTTGAGAGTTGGTCCCCGGGGTACTGGGAAGTGTCTGAATTTTGTGGTTTATTTTCAGTATGGAGATTTCGAGGCATGCTGGGAGTGGATCCGGGTCAGGATCGGGAGCAGGAGAGGGAGTTTCGGGCGGGTCAGTACCGCCCGAGGTTATCGGTCAGATGAGCACGTGCGAGTTGGATGCGAGGATTCGTGAGATCCGGCATGATGAGGTTGTTGCGTTGTTCCGGGCCAAGCTTCCGGAATTGTTTGGGTCGATCAAGACCGCCATGGTGGAGTATTTTGATGAGCGCTATGCGGCTCTTACTGAGACGGCTGCCGCGGTGGCTACATCGGCTGTAGCAGCGGCAGGGGGAGGAGCTGGTAGAGGTTTTCAGTATCGGGACTTCGGTAATACGAAGCCTCCCACCTTTGATGGAGTTCAGGACCCCATCGTTGCTATGAGATGGTTATCTGACGTGGAGGGGTGTTTCTTCACGTGTTCATGCCCTGTTGATCAGAGGGTGAGGTTTGCTCTGAACCTGTTAAGGCTCGGGGCAAATGATTGGTGGAGATTGACCACGGGGTCATACTCGGATGTGCACAGGGCTGCGGTTTCATGGGATCAGTTCAGAGAGATGTTCAGCACTCGTTATGTTCCGCAGGTCGAGAGGGAGAGGTTGGCTCAGGAGTTCCTTGAACTGAAGCAGGATTCGGAGCCGGTGACGAAGATCACCAGGATGTTTACTGAGAGGGTGATGTTTTGCCCTGAGTTCGCTTCGGAGCAGGCTCAGATGTCCCGATATCTGAGTATGCTAAAGAGAGATATCAGACAGGTTGTATCCGCGCAGAGGTGCGAGACTTTGTTGGAGTTGCAGGAGGCCGCCAGGCGGCGTGAGTTGGAGATTGAGTTGCAGTTGCGTGAGGTGAGGCAAGCTTCGGTGCAGTCGTAGCCGGCGTCAAAACGGTCCAAGACCGTTGATTCCAGGGTGGGAGATCAAGGCAGCCACGTTTGTGGGAAGTGTGGGAGGGATCACATCGGATTTTGTAGGTCCGGTGGTACATGCCGCAAGTGCGGAAAGGAGGGGCACTATGCGAGGGATTGTCGGCACGCAGTCCCGGGTCGGGATTTGAGGATATGTTATCATTGGCATCAGGTTGGGCACTTGATGGTCAACTGTCCACAGCTTGTTGCGGGACCGGTGCATGCTCCAGCACCGGCCACTTTGAGGATCACAGGTGGAGGTGAGGGTGGAGCGGAGCCCCCAAGGGCTCAGGGTCGTGCTTTTCAGCTTTCAGCAGAGGAGGTC